GCAGCTCTGGCCCTGACTGCTCTGTCCATGCGGCTGACCGCCCAAGGCACAGTGAGTTGAGGGCGGCAGTGGGCATGAGCCCAACTTTTGGGCCTTTGATTTCATCTCAGAGGGTGGCATCTCATGTGACTGCAAATCTATTATGATTCTGGATGCTGACTTAGCACAGAGCCGTGCAGGCCTGATGAAAGAACTCAATTAAAAGTTATCAAAGAACACCCACAGGAAAAGCAACAAACCTTCCCTCTATTGTAGCTTCATCGCCACAAGTTCTTCCACGGTGGCTGAGGGGGCTCCCATGTCTGCCATGTGATCAACACTGGGCATTCGAGAGGAGACCGGCCCTCAGCCCCATCCCTGTCTTCTGGGGCATGGATGACTGGTGCAGAGAACCGAATCCCAGACCCATGCCCCACCTACAGGTTACAGCAACCTACAGTCATGGCATGAAGCTGATTCCCTCTGAGATGAATTTTGCCTCAGGTGCCCTAATGTAAGGAGGCCAGGCCTGGGAGCATTCCATGTGCGGATCCCCTCCCTCCCTTCAAGGGAGGACAACCCATCGTACTGGCCGCCAAGGTGCCTGGCAACATTTCATGGCAGCAAGAGATGGCCCCGAAGGCCCTGGGGCTGCTGTTGCTAGTATCACCATTTCACAGACTAGGAAACTGAGGCTCCAGGAGGCAAGGTAACCAAGGAGAGGCATCCTCAAGACCCAGGCACTCCCAGACGAGTGGCTCCTTCCTACCTGCCCCTGCCTGGGGTTCCTGGCTGCCTAGGCTGTTTGAGTGGACTTTTCCCACCACCTCCCCCATAAAGCCCATCACTGCACTCTCAGGCAGGACAGTCGGGGCCTTCCACCGAGAGAGCTCATGTCCCAGAACATGGTGATCATCACAGGCCCTGTGGGGTTGCTAACACTGATACATGGGATTGGACAGGCCACTGCTTCTCTGAACCCTGGGGGTCCATTAACCAGAGAACCAAACGCAAACTGTAAAGTGACTCAGACCATTCTCTAGCTCTGGGAGAACACTGTCACTCACAGGCCTGCCTGGGCCTTCCCTACTGCAAGGCTGCTCCTTCTGGCCAGGGGACATCTCCCATGCTTCCTCGATCCCCCATCTCCCAGTCACCGTGGGACAGTGCTAGACACAGGAGATAATCGACGAGGACTCTAAGTGCCTCTGCTCCCACTGCTAACCACACCAGGTCTCCTGGCACTTAAGACAACGTCCCAGTGGCTGCGTAAGCTAGTGTGAGCTGCTGTGGAGGCTGAGGAGACAAGGGGCCAGGGACGGGGCCCCAGTGCAGGGGACATCTCCTCCCATAACTCCAAGTAGGGCATCCTGTTCAGACACAATGTGAAAGGGCAAGAAAGCGTTTCTGTGGAACTCTTTATCTGCACCACTCTGTGATCCACTCTGTAACTGCTCAAGGAGACACGAGTTGCTCTTCCACCGGATGCCGCAGGAAAACCACAAGGGTTCCATTGTGCGTCCTCGGCAAAGGACACAGGCACGAGGGAGGATCCTTCTACACCCCACTCCCACCCTCCTCCCACCCTCCAGGTCTCAGAAATGCTGCTCGGCTTTAGGAACAGCCTGACCTTGGGGCTATGGACCCTGCAGGGCGTCACAGGTAAGTTGACAGACAAAAAGGACAAAGGCGGGTGGAGGTGGCTGGAAGGTTCTTCCTGAGTCGCAATTTGCCTGCTTCTCTTCATGGCCTTCCCCCAACCCCCAGCCAAGCCACCCCACCCACGCTTCCTGTGATGGCTACTCTGGCCACCCAGATCTGAAATGCCCACCTGGGCTCAGTCTCCCCTGCTGAAAAGACTGGGAGTGAATCCAGGCACCTCAGATGGCCTCGCATGCCCTGCTCACCCAGCATCCCCCACACCCAGCCACAGGGGCAATCTGAGCTCCTCTCACACCCAAGACCTCAGCCTGGGGCCCTACAGAGCAATCCCTTTGTCACGTTAAACTCTGTGCCTTTATCCGGCCACTCCTTCCCACCCTCAGAAGGACCTTCCTGGTCTGCCCTGGAGCCCAGTCAGCCCATCTACGATTTTCCTGTTCATGTTATATTTGATGTCCCCGTGCCATAGTACTGGATAGCAGGGCTGTGTCCTCATTGGGTCTCTGCACAGAACCACACTTGGAGCCTCAGAAAGTTCTGGTGAAGAACGAGGGCAAGACTGTTCATGGGTCTTACGGCAATGAGGAAATGAGGCCAAAAGAGGCCTGGTGGCTGACAAATGGCCGGCTGGACTTGAACCCTGGCCTGCTGGGCCCCACCCCAAGCCCCTTCTGCAGCCCCGGACCACCTGGGTACCTGGAGTGGGCCCCAAGGGTGCAGAGAGAAAGTGCTTGGGCCAGTCTGCCAGATGACAGGTGATATTCTCCAGACACAAGATAGCCAGAGGCCAATCTCAGCACATATAGCTGAGCCCCTGCCAGAAGGACCCAGCCCTCCTTCCCGCCCATCAGCACAGGGATCCACGGGGAAAGAGCAGGCTACTCGAGAGGGAAGGAGAGTCAGACAACTGTTGTGGGACAAAGGGGTCAACGTTTTCAACAATGTGTCCTCTGGAAAGGAAGGCATTCATCTGGGAACAAAGTAAATCTCTTAAAGAAAAACAGGAGACAGGAATTTTGCAGACACCGCACTATATCCCAAGTTCAAAAAGGAAGTGCTTTAGGGTGGTAGGATGTTTTCGACAGCAACGGAATTATAAACACATTATGTATTCAAGCTGAACAAAAGCTCTTTGCTATCCCCACTGAAATTTGTTTTTACGAAAGTCAGGTTCCCCCCTGCTACATTCCTCAACTTTCTGTATTTGATCCTATCAGCTAAGAAATGCCTTCACAAGCAAAGTTTCTATCAAATGACCCATCTTCTGACCAGACAAAGTCTGGTAGGTACGGAATGGATTTTTTCCCCCATCAGTCCTAACTGCTGAGCTCTCCAAGAGGCCAAGTTCCTTGACACCCGAGGAATAAGGAGTAAGATAAAGTCTTGTCTTCAGGAAGATGCTGGAACCTTAGGCCCCTGAAAGGCTGTGGAGTATAATGGGAGTACCCAGAGAAGCAGCGGTAGGGATTAAAGGCAGATTCTGGCCCATCCCAGCCCTGCCTGTTTGGCTCACCCACAGGTGGTATTTCAAGGACTTCCTGGGTGACCTAACATCACTGGTTGGATGCACACTCCCAAGAGGAAGTGTCGCTCCTGAAGCAGTGCCCTGGGATACCTTCCATAAAGTTACTACAAATAGGGTGGAATTTCTCCTTCAATGAGGATGACGAGCGTAGCTCCGGGCGCTGGGTTCTTACTAGGTGCCATGCTAACACTATCGTATATATTGATGTATCAACCAAAGACGGTCTGCCCGAATTATCTGGATTCTTGCTTCCACTTTATTAGGTCGGCGTACACCAGAACTGTGGGCTTCTCTCTATGCTGAGAGAGGAGCAGTGAGGGCAGGCATTGTGGCAGCCACTGCAGCCCCACGTGCACCCAACTCTCCTGAATCATGAGATTCGTCACCCCCGAGTCCCATGGTCTGCAGATGCCAGATTCCTGCAAAGTGCTGTGCCCCGTGTGACCAGTAGGGGGGGTGGAGGGAGCAGGAAAGTCTAGAACCTCAAGGATGGATTTCTGGGTGTCACAGGCAGAAGCCCTGAGGACACAGGTATGGGGCCATTAGAGGGCGTTCCATCCACACAAATCACAGCTAGCCAGTCCCAAGCGGGGCTGAGCTATGGCAACAGCTGCTGCTGCATGGAGCTTCATGTGAGGAGAAATGACATGAGGGGTGTGTAGCCCCTGTGCCTGCACCCAATTGTGGAAGCGACCCAAATTCTGGCTCTCCCCATGAGGGCTCTGAGCTATCTCCAGGATGAGCTGCCTCAGGCCAGCAGTGCCCTTGATGAGGTAGGGGACACACACAGGGCTGGTTTCTGTGTCCCCAGCTTTCTAATAGTACTCATCAGGTACAGAGTGAGGCCCCAGTGTCCAACCTGCCCCAACTCCCCAGGGGGCTATGAGGAGCTTGCTGTGTATTCTCATGGTGACCTCGTCTGAAGAGGCTCTCTTGGACCAGCCACTGCAGGATCGCTCAGCTGTGGAACCAAGACAATGCCCACCCTGGGCCTGCTGCCTACCCCCTCCTGGAGAAACTAGTACTTCTGGTCACCAAGAGACACTTATAACAGTGTTCCTGACAGCATTTTCCATAGTGGCCAGAGACGGGGGGACCACTCCATCCCTGCCCACAGAATGATAAGCAAATCACAGCACGTTCACAAGGAACAGGGCCCGACAGTGAGACAGTGCACTGCCACCGAACTCCACGGCCTGGGAACTCACGCTTGATGGGAAAAAGTACTGATCGTGGAGGAGAGATCAGCATGGTGCACACCGGTGGTTAGGGGAATCCATGGACCCCTACTGGGGTCCCGGCTGTTCTACATCCTCCCCTGGGGGGTGGCCACAATTTACCTATCAGGCATCTATAATCTGTGTACGTTCACATGTGAAAAATCTACTTCAATAAGAAACAAACTATTAACAGCTCCTCTCTGTGCTAAGATGAGCCAGGCACAGTGGTAAGCTCTCTCCTCAAACCCCATATCACCATCCTACCCCGCCGTGCCCCTCTCCCACACCCCTCACGGCTCTGGGACTAATTTAACTTGTTGGGTGGTGTTCGGTCTAACTCAATGTCAGTGCCTCTCCTGGGACTGCGTGACCCAGCTCACAGTGCCCCAATTCACGTATACCCTTTCATGCTAGCATGCTAGATAGACCTGAGGGCTGGGGGCATTCGGGGCGGAGGAACCTCCTGTTTAGGGTGAGGGTGCACAGTGAGGGACTTGTGTCAGAGCATGGCAGATCTGTGGGCTGGCTGGGGACATTCAGAAGTGGGGACTCCCCCCACCCTGTGCATAACAGGCCCTCCAGGATGGCTATCGGGACTCAGAGGCCACACTCACCCTTGCCGATCTGGATAAAGCCCAGCAGAATGATCAAAGCCAGAGCCAGGAGTTTGGCGGCGGCGAAGGCATCCTGGACGCGTGTGGCGGCCTTCACGCTGTAACAGTTCACGGCCGTGAGCAGCACTGTGGAGAGAGGGCAGAGAGTGAGTCCCGCCCAACAGGTGGTCGGCACCAGGGGAATAGGCTGAAAGGGAACCCAGCCCTTTGGTGGGGGCTCATCCTCTGGGACTTGTTTTGATAAACCTGACAGCTCTCCAGGCCCAAGGTCAAAGGTCGAGGACCACACTCCGCTTGAGCTGTGATCCTAGGCACACCTGGGCTATCACAAAGGACATTTTTCAATGAATGAATTTCTTTCCGTTTTTAGAGAATAAGCAGCATTTTATTCTATAACAGTATTACAGAAAGCAAAATAAAATGTTTAACACAACTTGAGGCTATTACAAATCTAATCTGGCATTACAAGTACACATAGGCTCAAAGACAAAGAAAAGCTGTTCAATACGGTTAATAAGCCCCTATCAGGACTCTGGTGTCAGCTTTAAATGGTATATCCTGTAACCATCAAAAAAACACCACAGTCCCTACTCCTTTCCCCAGTGTCCTCAAACCCGTGTGACTCATCAAACTATCTGACAGAAACAGACCTGCTCAATAACAAAAGGTCACCTTGACACGCAGACAAAGAGGTTTAACGCAAAACAAGTGTTCTACACAAATGTTCAAACAATGGAAAGTATTGAAATCTGGACACATTAAGAAAGAAAGTACTAAGGTTTTAAGCTGCCTGAATATTTTAGTAGAAAGGAAGAATTCGTTTTCTCTCTCCCTCCCACCCCCTTTCTAGAACGCTGCCGAAGAGCATGTGTCTGAGCAGTGTTGGCACTGCGTTGCAACAGGGTCTCTAAACACAGTGCATGGTCATTAAACTTCTTAATAATCCTCCAGTCTGGATGTTCTCTGACTTTCCACTAAAAGCAAAGTCATAGGAATGGAAAGTCAAAAAAAAGGGTTCAAGGTAAAAAATATCCCCAATGAATTTCTCAGATATTAGAAAATTTTCAAGATGTAAAAAATGCTTTTTATCTGTATTAATATTTTCTCACACAGTAGATTTACTGCAATCTGAAAACTCTATGAACGCTTACTGTAGTTCCAGGGGAATTCAATGGGAAGAATCTGGAAGAAGGAAAGCCACTATCTAAGTCAGTCACAGAGTTTCCTTTCCGTGCAACAGCAACTGTTAAGGCAAACAGCACCTTACCAGCTGGGGCTGCTTTGTCCATTACCATTTGATCAAAATGAGTCATAAAAAGCGGGTAGTTATACCCAAAGTAAACAGGAAACAAAAACAAAACTCCCTAATTGAAAAAAATACCAAGAATATTTAGAAGTGGTTATAAAACAAAATATTAAAATGCGAGGGAACAGTATAGACCAGAGCTGTTAAGGTTTGGTGCTGGCATTTGAATTCTTCAGGCTCTGGTCACTGCTACCAGGCATAGGATAACTCCGCTGTGGTAGTGTGGCATTTAGACTTGGTCAAAATTCTTCAGATTCACAAAGTTCAGTGTCGTTTAAAAAATGAAATTCGTAACGTACTCTCCCTCTTCCTCCAACTCACTTTCTTTGTGCATCACCACTCCGGCGACCGGTACGTCGGGGTGCTGCTCTCTGGCTTCCCGGATGGCCTGGGCCAGCACCTGGTCATGATCGATATCTGCACCTCCCGTGATCACGACGCATTTCTCAATTCTTGTTTCCAATATTCCACCTTTTACAGTTTTGGTGATGTGTGTGGTTGCTGTTGTTGACACAGACTCAGATATGACGGTTTGTGTGGTCCGTAACGTGCCCTAGTCACCATCAGCCCCGCCATCAATCTGTGCAGACTCGTAGGTGATGATTCAGGTCTCCGTTTGGACAACAGAGACTTCCTTGGTAGAGACTTCTGTCCTTTGCGAGGCATCAGAAATTGTTACCATCTCTGTTTTTACCACCGGTGGTCTGAACAAATAATCTGTGGCAAAACATCAATGTCAACATGAGACATCTCTCTGTTAACTTCTTTTTTTTAACGCCTACAGCACCGCACCTGGTCTTCCTAGGTGGTCTCCCATCCAAATACTAACCAGGCCCAATCCTGCTCAGCTTCCGAGATCAGACGGGATCGGCACGTTCAGGGTGGCATGGCCGTAGACTCTGTTAACAAACTTTATATTGCTTGTCCTGTGTGTCATCACTCACCTCTTGCCCAATAGCGCCTTTGTGTACACTCTTCTCTGTCGATACCTTTGGGGCAACTACATTTTCCTGGATCACTGTTTCTACTGTGCTGACACTGACGCCTGCTTGTTTGCGTGGGCTGGCTTCTGGGACTGGTTCCTTCCTCTCCACTACCTCGGCTGCTCGGCCAGGTATTTCCTCCACCTCTGCTTCATGCTCCTATTCTTCCTTCATGGTGCCCTCGGTCACACAGCGGTGGGGCTAGTGCTCTCCCACGGCTCCTTCTTCTTCTCACTGCTGCTGCGGCTCCAGGAAGACAGGCAGGTAAGGTCTTTCTGGGTCAGAGGCTCCACCTTGCGGATCGCTCCAGGACCCCTCCCCCAGGTGGTATCTCTTTACCATGTATTTCTTCAGAGATTACTCTTTCGTCTTTCCCATTTTCTGCTTGCTTTTTCTCCACTACAATCAGTCTCATGTGAACGCTTTCCTTCAATGAGTTGCACGTGTGGGGCTTTAGTTGGGCTTCTGATGTCCCTTCTGCCATCTCTGTCTTATACCATGGCGGTGTTGACAGCTCCGTGGTCACGAGCTGAAACCTCCCCAGCAAGGCCAGGAAAATCCTTACGATTTTGGTCCACAACACCAACTAAAGCTCCATCTAGACTCCTGGAGGAGTGTGGTGCTGCCCTATTAATGAAGGTGCTTGCCTGGAGGGTCTGGGCTTAGGTATGCTGTAGCAAAATCTGGACCCCAATGTCAGGTATTTGGCCTTTGGTGACTGCTCTGGAGACACAAGCCTGTAGAAAGTATGATGTTCCACACATAATTTCTATAGCATTTTTGCAGCCTGGTGGTTCGGCAATTTGAATCCAATGTACTCTCAAATTGTTCTAGCTATGCTGGCCTAACTTTCATATAGAAGTTACTCCACTTAGAGGAAATCTTCAAGATTTTCAGCCAAGTAAAACTATTGATTCTTACTCTGTCTTTGTAAATGGCATGATTGATGTCCACGCCTTCTGAGTCCTTGGCATTATGTAGGTAACGTCATGTATGGAAAGCCTCTTTGCATTTTCTACGAACTGAGAATCAGCTTGTGCTGGAGATAAGCCCCTGTGGGTTTTATGCAGCTCTACCATCTTCTTTTCCAGCTCCTTCGTCTGTGTGGGGAAAAACTGGAAGTCACTAGGTCATGACCAGCATGCTCTTCTGGGTTACAGTCTCCAAGTTCAGCCTGCAATGTCTCTAAGATCTCAGGGGGGCTTGAGTCAAAAAGAGCGAGGCAGGTGGTCAGAGGCAGTGTCTTGCCTGAGCTGAAGGTACAAGAAGTATCTGGCAGTATCTTCAGTCAACTGAGATGGATCAAGAGGATGAAACGTCACATATTAAAGGTGAACACCCAGGGAAGATAGTCCATAGTTGTCTATTTCTTTTGCGGAGTCTAGCCAGTTTCTCTGCTCAGGGCTTTCCCTAAACAAAAGTCCAAAGTAGTCCTCCAAAAGACTGACATTTCACACACTTTGTCAAATAACACTTGGCCCTTAGCACGTTTCTCTAGGTCACAGCTGTACCTGGTGCCATCTAGGAAGGTCGCTTTACAGTGGACAGCTTGGTCTTGGTGATTTTTTGTGAGGCCTTCTCTGCTTTCTGCTCACTGGTCTGTACTTCCTTTGTCTCCTTTTGCTGCTGCTTCTGATTTGTCTTCCTGTATTTACCTTCTCCTTCTCTCCCTCCTTGACTTCTTCAGCAGGCTGTCTCAGGATGGCTCACTGAAGGTTTCTCTTCCTTGACATCGACTCTGATCACCCGTCACCCTTTGGCCTGCCTTGCTTCTCAAGGAATAGATTCCTCCATCTAAAACCTGCTCTTCCACAACAGTTTTTCAATTAACACTTGGTCCTCATCTTTTTCTTATCTCCTCCACCTTTGGCCACTACTAAGTTATAGGGCTTTTGTTTCTGAAGCCATGGGGGTATGAAGAGAAAAAGCTCCCTGCTCGCTCTCAGATGGATCTTTCTCTCCCTTCTGGCAGCGTGGACTACTTTGGCTTTCAGCTGGAGGTGACTGGGAATCTTTTGCCTCCGCTGGATTGGATGACCAATTCTGTTGATTTTCTGCTATTTCTTTAGGTTTCTCCTTGGTTGCACTGCTCCGAACGGGTCAGATTCCTTCTTCACTTCCTATGCGGGGCCTACTTTAAGTAGTCATTGTCACAGCTTATGCTCAGGAGCTTGCTTATTGAGGGTTCTGGTCCTGCTTCAGCCCCCAAGCTGGGCCACCCCTCCTCCTGCCTCCCTCCTCTAGGTTTCAAACTGAAATTCCCTGTCTGGGGCTGTCACAGGCCTCTGAGTTCCCCACTTCTCGGCGGCGGGAGCCCCTACTGCACCCCCTGCCTGACGCACCCCAGTGTCGCAGTATAACCCTTAATGAAAGCATTTCAACCTCTTAAGGCAGGGGTCCCCAACCCCACCCCGGCCGCAGACCAGTACCTGTCTGTGGCCTGTTAGGAAGCGGGCCGCACAGCAGGTGGTGAGCAGCAGGTGAGTGAGTGAAGCTTCATCTGTATTTGCAGCCGCTCCCCAGCGCTAGCATCACCGCCTCAGCTCCACCTCAGGCATTAGTTTTTCATAGGAGTACCTATCCCTGGTGCTAGAAAGGTTGGGGACCACTGTCCTAAGGGACCAACGGTCAAAACAGCTATCTTTCCTCCCCTCCCCCACCCCACCATCCGCGCACCTGAGTCAGGTCTTTGATGAGCTGACTGCTGTCTTCAGAGAGGTTACGTAGCAAACCTGCCATTAGGAGGACTGCATTCACCTTTTTGCACCCACTCAACATTTAGCATAACTTATTAGGTTCACACAAGCCCACCGAACTCCTTGTAAGTGGGAAACCCT